GCCTAGCCCTGGGATTGAAATTCTCTCACAAAGGAAGTCTAGCCCTCTCAGACCCCAGCCCTCCAATGCCCCAACCTCTGTGGGCACCAAGGGGCTTCTGACCTGTCTAGGCTGGAGGCTGGAGCAGGCACTTACCAAGGAAGTGGGCCAGGCCTCTCCACAGCTCTGTCTGGGGCAGGCCAGGAAGGTCTCTGTGGTGTTGAGCTCTCCACCTCACTTCCTGCCCCGCTTCTCACAGCACATTTCACAGCACCTCCCAGATAGCCTCCTACCCACCCTCAGCCCCGCCCGAGGCCTAGACAGGGCTCCATGAGTGTGTCCTTCCCGCTGGCACAGTTCTGAGGGCCCAGCTCAAGTCCCCTCCACACACTGAGAGGGAAGCAGAGCAGGACATTGGATGGCAAGTGGCACAGAATCCCCAAAGCGATGAGGGCAGCCATGTCCCTCTGCCTGAATACTCCCCAAGGCCCATTAGGGCCCACAGTCCTCCTCATGTCCCACTCACTGGAGCACTGCCATGCTCCATCCACATCTGGGTGTCAGCCAACCTGGGGGGCACACCCGGCTCTGACCTACCTTGGTCAGAGAAGGGACAATGCCGGCCCTCCTGGGTCCTCTGACTCTGGGCAGAGGTGGCAGCCTCACCAGGCTCTTCTGGGTCAGCCTGGCTATGTGCAGCCCTGCACAGCCCCTCCTTTCCCCAGAGACCCTGCAGCCAGCCCAGTTGCCACTGAATGACTACTGTGGTGAAATTGCTTTAATTCCTTGATAAGGAGATACCCCAAGACACTGGCAGGTGGAGCCTGGTGAACAAATAAGTGTTAAAAAGTGACCCTACAGCCCCATCTCGACTCAGCAGTGTCCACAGTCCCAGGCTGGCAAGGCAGACGGAGAGGCCTTCAGTGGTGTCTGAGGTGAGGGGCCATGGGTCTTCTGGAGGGCAGCCTGAGCAGGGTCCCTGGAATTGTCCATGGTGCCCGAGGGTCTCTAGAACTCAGTCATCTTCTTGTGTGTGTCTGCCTTCCTCTTCTCCCGCTGTAGGCCCGCCTCCTGGGCCCGCAATTGCCCCAGTTGCCGCTGGGCTCCGGCTAGCTTCTCCTCCAGCTGAGCTGCTGCCACGCTGTGCACAGGGAGGGGCCACCAGTCAGTATGGGATCCTGGCCATTGTCCCTGGGCCCCAGGTCACTATGCCCACTGCCCAGACCCTTCTCAGACACAGCCTGCCACACTTGGGTCCGGTGACCACTTGTATTGCGCGCATCACCCACACATGTCACCCACACACATCCAGTGGGCTTGGCCACCCCAAGTTGGGACCCACATATACCGGCCAGCATTGCGGGCGAGGGCCTCCTGGATACCCCGGATGTCCCGCTGGGTCCGCTCAATCTTCTCCTCAGTCTGGAAAAGCTGCAGGCTCAGGGCCCGCTTGGCGCTCTTGCTGGCATGATATATGTCCTTGCTCTTCCTCCCTGGGGGGCCCTCTCCAGCCTTCAGGGCCCCAGAAGTCTGGCCCTGTAGCTTTTCGTTCAAGAAGTCAAACACGTTCCGAGGTGGAGGGCGGCCCCCAGGCCGGCCCCTTCTCTCCCGGCATTTTGGGGGCCTGCTGGTACCAGCCTTGCTGCCCATGGGCCGCTTCTGCAGGGCCTCTGCACACTGGTCTAGTGACTTCCCTCGAGGCAGCACTACGGCATGGATGGGCTCCACCCGGCCTTCCAAGTGCCGGCCCAGACCTGGGGAGATGTGGGGCTGGTATCACTGTTGCTGCAGCAGCACCCCCAGCCCAAGGCAGCCTGCACTCACCCTTGCCAAACTCGTAACCCATCTTGGCGAGGAGTCTGGAGCCGATGCCCCGTGTGTGTACCTCCCAGCCGGCAAAGGCGGAGCTGCAGGTCCCAGCATCTGGACTGCCTGACTCCACCACTGCAGGAGACAGAGGCACTCTGAACTCTGGCCAGTGTTAGTTCAAGAGTTCTAACTACTACGCAGAGCCCCAATCCCCAAACCTAGGGCTCTCCAACAGTCACTCAGGCTTGCTGCGGGCAAGTGACAACAGGCAGAGATTGCTGCCATCCCCGTGGCCTGCTGCAGCCCCTCACCACTCAGGGAGGCACCTGGTTGTACTGGGGCTCCCTCCACAGCCCCTCCCTGACCTCATGGAAAGTTGCCAACCTCATCTCCATGCCTTATTCCTCTCCATCACATGGATGTGGGGCTTCAGTAGCCACCAACTCCCATCACAGACACCTAGGGACACCTCTCAAATTTCACATTAGCCGACCCCTCAGGAAGGCCATACACTGCCCACCAGTTCCTATTCCTGTATCCGCACTAGCTATCTGGACACACCCTGTCTGCCTGCCAGCACAACCCAGAGGGGCTGCTCCTTCCTACACTGCATCCATCCCTCAGACACCCTGAGACTTCCTTGGCAGCTCCAGCACCAGCAGCTCCTTGCCTCACTCTGCCATGGCCATGATCTCCCAAAGGCGAGACTGATTTTGCACATGTATTCCCTGAAGACAAAGACTGGCTGCTCCCAGGTCTGGGCTGACACTGGTGCCATGGTCTCTGGGTCTGCTCCAGGCCCTTCACACACTCTTATTTCCACTCCCTCCCAGGGCATGGTGGTGCCTTTGTGGCAGCTACTCACTCCCCAAATGTCTGATTGGATTGTGGTACCCCCACCAGCTGTGGGCCTCTCAGGATGACAATCCCCACCTTCCTGGCACAGAGTACCTAGAGCTGCTGCCACACCTCGAGCATAGCTGGAGTCATCTGTGCCACCGCCATCAGAGTCGGAGGACTCTGCAGCCTCCGTGCGTAGTGGGGGCAGGATGCTGTCGCCCTCCACCACTGCCTCCCTCAGCAACAGTGAGTCAAACTTGACTGTGTAGTAGCCACTATCCACATCTGGGGAGTAGAGACAAGCTGCAGGTCAATACCCTGGCCAGGTGGTGCCTCAGTCAGGAGCCTTATCTTGGGCCCAGAGCTGCAGTCCTGATGTCCAACCCAAAGGAGGCTGGGAATGGCGGCATGATGCCAACAGCCAGGAAGCATGGGAAGTTTCCAGAAAGGGCCCTGTTAGAGAGCCCTGCAGCCAGCAGGGAGCCAGCAGGGAGCCCATAGTTTCATTAGGGAGGCCCCTTAGCCTCACCAGTAATCCGGGCTGAGTGCCAGAGGCCATCCTGGTGTTTGGCCAGACACGCAGAGCCAGCCTTCAAGGAGCTCAGGTCTGGGTCCTGGAAGGGGCGCAGTTCATCCAGAGAGACCACTTGCCCATGGGAGAACCTGCAGAGAAGCCACAGGGTGGAGGCTGAGACATGGCCCAGTAGGGAGAGACAGAGAGCCACACAGAAAGACACAGGCATGCACATGCACTCACACACAAATATAAGTGGCTGGACGGGACACATATGCATGCACTGTCACACGCATGTACACACATGCACACATGCCCACACACAGCACTGACACACCCGCAAACACACACACACTCTTGCATGCTTGTGTATACATATACAGCTGTCCCTTGATATCCAGGACCACTTGCAGACATCAAAATCCACAGATGCTCAAGTCCCTCATATATAAAATAGTACAGTGTTTGCATACAACTTATGCACATCCTCCCATACACTTTTTTTTTGAGACAGAGCCTCAAGCTGTCGCCCTGGGTAGAGTGCTGTGGCATCACAGCTCACAGCAACCTCCAACTCCTGGGCTCAAGCGAGTCTCCTGCCTCAGCCTCCCAGGTAGCTGGGACCACAGGCGCCTGCCACAACACCTGGCTATTTTTTGGTTGCAGCTGTTGTTGTTTCGGCGGCCCGGGCTAGGATTTGAACCCACTACCTTAGGTATATGTGGCTGGCGCCTTAGCCACTTGAGCCACAGGCACTGAGCCACACTTTTTTTTTTTTTCTTTTATGAGACAGACTCTCACTTTGTTACCCTTGGTAGAATGCTGTGGTGTCACAGCTCACAGTAACCTCAAACTCTTGGGCTTAAGTGATTCTCTTGCCTCAGCCTCCCAAGTTTCTGGGACTACAGGCGCCTACCACAATGCCCGACTATTTTTTGTTGCAGTTGTCGTTGTTTGGCTGGCCTAGGCTGGGTTCAAACCTGCCAGCCTTGGTATATGTGCCATAACCACTGTGCTACGGCATTGAGTCCCTTTTTTTTTTTTTGAGACAGAGTCTCACTGTGTCGCCCTCAGTAGCTCCCATATACTTTTATATCATCTCTAGATTACTTATAATACCTGGTACACAGTAATGCAATGTGATCCCTGCTTGGTTGAATCCATGAATGTGGAACTCAACTGTATCACTACACACATACATGCACACACTTGCATTTTCTGTCTCAGGATGGACTTGGCTACTCCAAGCCTGTTACTCTCTAGCTTTCTGGGCTGGAGTGACAACATGGTAGATAGGTGAGTGACTCAGCTCCCATTGTCTTTCCACCAGACAATCAGGCAGATGTGTCCTGGGCTAGAGTGACAATGTGACAGACAGCCCAGTGACCTTGGCGCCCAGAGCCTCCACCAGTCAGGCAGGCAGATGCACTGTGGGGGTGCATGGGTATGTAACCACAGGACTGGGTCTTCCTTAAACTAAGAGGATCCAGTTATAAAAGTGATACCTTGACTTTTAGATACCAGTGAAGTCGTAAATTTAAAAACAAAACAGAAAAGGAAGAGGAAATGTGAGGATGGACATAGAGCTTCAACCTTTAACTTGGCCAAATAAAGACATGAAAACACTAACCACCATCTACTACTGTGCCATCATTTGAAATAGGAAACTGTTAACCCAAGAGCAACTGAGGACTAGCATTTGCTCCACAACACAGAGACAGGGCTATCTTTTCAGGTAGAAATGAGAAGATAAGACAGCCTCAGATGCCTCCTCAGGTCAGACCCACAAGTGGTTCCTTCTCACACAGGGCATTGCCAACTGGACTGAGTGGCTTTGGGGGCTCCAGGGCCATGCCCCAAATGCACTGCAGTGGACAATGGCTGAAAGACCCATTCAATTGAGGAGCAAAAGAATGTGTTTATAACGGGAGAGCTAGGATGGTGCCTATGGCTCAGTGGGTAGGGCCCCATATACCGAGGGTGGCGGGTTCAAACCCGGCCTG